CCTTTACAAATATTTTTTTGACATAACCTGGTCTTGCCAAGTTTGTAATTTGGGCATAAATTCTCTTCAAATATATCTGAGAAAACTAAGCATGTAAGATTTATGGTTTTTGTAGGAAAAATTAGTTGCTGATTTCTTCATCTCATTGTTAATGATAAAGGTTATAAGGCAAGGACTAATTAACCCAAAATGATGAAGCAAGATGTCAGGTTTTACGGTATTCTAAGACAGATACAGTAACTTACAGATATGGTTTCAAAATTGCAATTTACCAGAAAAAAACTGTGTACCTAAGAAACAAATTTAATATGATCATATTTCAGCTATTCATGGCTGCTCATATAACTGTAGAATGATAGATACATGCTTAGAAAGGGACTCTGAGATAGGGACCTTTCCTCAGGAAAAACCAAGCCAGCCTCACTTTCTATTTATTCATATGAGAAAAAATATACAATTTTCCAAACACTTAATGCAGAAATATTGCCATGAAACTTAACAAATGGAGAATTAAGAAAAAGAAGAGGAAAGAAATTGAATTTCTTGACTTATTTGACGTGTTTCCTTATAGTCTCTGGTTAGTGACTATAGTAAGGTGATTGGATGGAGAAACCAGAAATATGACCTTAAGGTATATGATGATGCATTATCATTTTTCTTAGCATTACATAATGCTGTTGTCAGAGGATACCCAGTGGAAGCTACGTCTACCAATAAGTAAAACAGTACTTCAGCTTTCAACGTTCCTCCCTCGAATGTCACATAGAAAATGTTATGATAGGGAAGGCAGGAGAAAAAAAAGAGAATTCTGAAATAGAAAGGATACTTGAAAATTTTAAAGTTAAAAAAAAGCTTAGTTAAAACTTTTTATTCATTGTCTGCATATTTCCAATAACTAACATTAAAAAATAAATAAGAGCTGATGTTAGGATTTAAGAACAAAGAAGGATCTACAATTCTTTACTTTCCTGGGATTTAACTGAAAAGGCAAATAATACTTTTCTCCTCAATACATTAAAATAATTCCATGAGAATGCATGCTGTTGTATTTGGATGGAGGATTTCAGATTTCAGGGAGAAGATGGGAGAATGCAATGCTCCATTGTTAATAAGCTATAACTGCAGCAATAGGGTCTAGAGATTTTAGATATCTGGTTGCAAAGCTGTAAGATACTCAGAAGTTATAGCTCCATGATGCCACCTCAATAAGACTGGTGGGGAGAAAAAACCATTAAGTCAGTTACATCACTTATGTTTGCCCATGGCTTCAGGGTTAAAATTATGAGTATGAAGATCAGAGAGCTAACTTTTTGATAGCATTTGAAGAATGCAAGACATCCCACCTAAAACTCTTTCCCTCATTGACTGCAAAGTCCCTTTTGCCATGTAATGTAATTTGTTCACAGGTTCTGATCTTTGGGATGGCACCTGTATGGAACTATTTTATTCTGTCTACCATAACCCCTTTTAAAATGCTTACTCTTAAAGAAGGGAGTCACACTTTAAATAAGTGTATCTAAATTGCAGCCAAGAATTCTTCACGCGCAGTTTCCATAATTTGAAATTTTATATATAGTCCACAAATTATGTTTACTTAGTGGCTAGGATTGCACTACATTTTTTTTATTAATCAAAGTACTTCATTACTAACAATTAGGCCTATTGATTACCAGGAGGTAACCACTTATTAAAGTGAGTTGATAGCACAAAAAAATATCATATTTGCCTCCATTTATCTTTATCTTAAGTTGCACAGTTTAAACTTTTTGGAACACATGGGATATTTTGGATTCATGCTGAAATGCTCCTGAATAACCCTAAAATGTATTAATTTATTCCATTATGAATTTGAATCACAAAATATCCTGATAATAAAGAAATGAAGCATTTGGCTCCCATGTATCTCTTTTTATTAGAGAGCAAAATCATTCCCAGTGGCCCTCTAGCAGACTTCCTCTCGTATCCTACTGAATGGGTCTCGTTTCCAGCCTCTCTTGTGGAAGGTCAGTTGTGTCAACAAAGAAGAGGAAAGAAAGTGACTGTTGGGTAGCACCCAACACCAAGATGCTGGCATTGACAGTTTAATAATAAAATCCATTATTTGTAGTGTAATAAAGTTTGACTCTATTTTGGACGTTTGGTTGCTGACAGTTTTTTAAGCCCTAGCCCCCTCCTTGCACTTCTGTCCCACATCGGGACAAGCTGCTAAGAAACAATCCCAGGCACTCCTACATTTGGCACCATGAGACCCTCATTCCAGCTCCACTCTCTAATCTCCTAAGAACCCCAAGCCAATCTCCCCTCCCTGCTTTCTCAAGCCATTTTTGACCAGCCTAGGAGACCTGCCTTGCTCTCCCCAGAAAATCTCATTATGTGAGTCATAAATCTTTTCATACTCTCTTGATAGGTGTGTGACAACATCAGTTTTGACATCCAAACCAAATTTTAGATGAGGTTCCATTCTTTTCCTATGGGATGGCTTACACAAGTTCTTAATGTTTATGAAGTATTTTTATATGTACTATCTTCTTTATCTTTATAATAATACTTTCAGGTAGTTTGAATTATCTAAGTGTTTACAGATCAGTAAACTGGGATTCTAGAAAATAAATGACTTTCACAAAGACAGATGATAAATGAAAAACTTGGGTCTCAAAACCTCCAATTCAGTATTCTTGCTTCTGAACGAGAGTACCTCCAATACATTTTCCAAATATTGTTTGGTAAAATGTCTTTATCTCAAGAGCAATTTAAAATTAATGATATATTTATATGGGTCTTGCTAAAATTTCTGCACTAACAGAAAATTTCTGCAGAAACAGAAAAGATTTACATGTCAAATTATTGTGTGACAAAGATTACAGGGAAAAAATTACCATTTGAATGAAAAGATGAACTGTTTGAAGACCACTGGAAGTTCCAATGACATGTAACCAAGAGTTAATCTCTACAGATTAGGATTGGGTATACACGTGTGTTATGGCAAATTATGGATGTGTGTGTTTGTGTGTATGTGCCTGTGTATATTCTGATATTTGTGAGAACTCCCTATGATAATCTCTGTGCTAAATGCCTTATACTCCATTCCGTTTGATCCTCGCAGCATCTATAAGAGGTGGATGTTTTTCCTGTTTCACAGATGACAAGCCAGAGGCTTAGAGAGTTCATATAACTTGTTCAAGATTATAGACCTGGAATGTAGGAGACCTGGCATTTGAACATAGACTACCCGCATCCAAATAAAGTCTGTAATTTTAACAAGCATTTGTTGCTATCTCCCTAATACTTATTCTTCTGGAAATCATCATGTTTTGGGAGACTATTAATCAGCATATTTGAAACACTGTCAATTATATTGATTGTTAAACATCCAATATTTAAACATATCACTAACTCAGACTTCCCAATTATTCTAAAGTAATGGTTACCAGATATCATCTTCCATGTCCTAGGAGATAGTCTGAGTCTCCATATCACATTACATTTTTAGCTATTATTGTTAAAGAAAATAAAAATACCTTCGTAATTGACTTTATATGCTCATTATTCATTTTAATAATTCCTTGCATTTCTACAATTATTTTTACAGTTCTAAGGTGCTTTCACATTTTTATTTGCTCCTGATAAACAACCCATCAAGGTAGGAAGAGAAAGCATCATTATTTCTAGTTTATAGCCACAGCCACCGCAGAGAAAGTTTACACATAATGTTGCAGACTCTGCTTTAATATTTTTGATTTGAGAATAAAAAAACATGACGAAAATACAAGAGCTTCTGAAAAAATGATTTTACTTTTTTAAAAAGTCATTTAATATATCACTGTTTGCTCCACCACAGGAAATGACTTATAAAAGATGCTGCCAGTTGAAATGATTTTGGAGTCTCTTTTAATTTTTTAAAATGTTATGTATCTTCAACATGTAGTATATTTGGGGAGTGTGGCATTTTCTGCACAATGGAGTATCAAAGGAGCAACAGAGATAGAAGGCGGCTTTTAAATATTACTTTAATTTGCTTTAGTTATTTTCATTGTTACTTTTTCAATAAGCTGACACATTTAAAATTATGACTCAAAGGAATAAACTTTATTTATTTGTTTGTGCATTCATTCAACAAACTTTTATTGAGCACTGACCAAGATGACTTCAGCTTGACTAAACTTTAGACAAGATTCTTCCTGACTCTAGGCCCTTGAACTACATTTACTTAGAGAATTTACTTTAGAAAACTTACAATTAATTATAAATTCTTTCTCTAATTCTTTGAGGTGTAAATACTTTTAAAAGCCTCTCGTCACTTTTACAACCCAGGAATGTCTTTCTTTTTTTTTGAGGTCATAATAGTTTATAACATTGTGAAATTTCACTTGTACATTATTTTTTGTCAGTCATCATGTAAATGCACCCCTTCACCCCTTGTGCCAACCCCCCAACCCTCTTCCCCTGGTAACCACTAATCTGTTCTCTTTGTCTATGTGTTTGTTTATCTTTCACGTGAATGAAATCATACTGCTGTTTGCCGTTCTCTGGCTATTTCGCTTAGCATAACACCCTCAAGGTCCATCCGTGTTGCTGCAAATGGGATGATTTTGTCATTTTTATGGCTGAGCAGTAAGGAATATCTTTCTTAAGAACCCAGGAGGCATCCATTTGAAATACAATCATCAAGGAAGATAGCATCCTTATTTCCCAGGTTCTGTGGGAGTGTAGGAGCCTAATTTAGTCAGGCATCTTGCTCCAAGCTGTAAAACTACCTCTTCTCATGAGGATGGGAGAAGGTTTACCCTCCACCCAGCTCTTAAAAACTCTCCCACCCTTTGTTTCAGCAGAGTTAAGCTCAGACTGAGTTTTGGCCTCTCTCCTCTATTGCAAAAGCTAAAAATAAAGTCTTTCTTGCCTGTTCAACTTCATTAAGTGCAATTTTTGCTTTGACAGAATTAATTATTTGCTAAGCACTTTGCTAAACATAGAGGATAACCTTAGATGAGTAGCATACTTACCACACTCTCAAAGAGGTCAGAGTCTAGGGGGAGTAGGAGCATGCAGATAATGAAGCAGATCATTGCAGTCTGTCACAGTGGTGTTATGAAAGGGAAACAGAGCGATAAGTAATCTAAAAAACAACAAACAAACAAAGGTAGTTATGCAAGTAGGTCATGTAATACTCTCCAGAACAAAATTTGAGGTAAATGTTAAAGATAAGCTACTAGTAAATTTTAGGGTTACCATAACAAGTAAGGGCTTGTTAATTGTAAGAGTTACAAATTAATATTTGCACCATTCCAGTTGCCCCAAGGACAATGGTATTCACCACATATTTGTCCTGTCCTGACCACATCTTTTGTGCAAGACTGAAAGTCACTGTGCAAGGCTCAGAGAATGTAAATATTAGTAAGGTATTAAACCTTGCCTCAAAGAGCTCATACTCTGCATTAATTCTTAAAATATAACCAGCAGTGGTGGAAATGCAAACTGGTGCAATCACTCTGGAAAACAATATGGAGATTCCTCAAGAAATTAAGAATAGAACTACCATGTGATCCAGCTATCCTACTTCTGGGTATTTATCCAAAGAACATGAAAACACACATGTGTAAAGATACATGCACCCCTATGTTCATAGCGGCATTATTCACAATAGCCAAGACTTGGAAACAACCTAAGGGCCCATAAGGGAAAAATGGATAAAGAAGATCTGGTATGCATATACAATGGAATACTAGTTAACCATAAAAAAATGAAATCTTGCCATTTGAGACAACATGAATGGACCTTTAGGGTAGTATGCTAAGCAAAATAAGTTAGAGGGAGAAAGTCAAATGCCATATGATCTCACTCATAAATAGAAGATAAAAACAAGAACAACAAACAAACAGACACACAGATATAGAGATTGGATTAGTGGTTACCAGAGAGGAAGGAGGGAGGGAGAAGGGCAAAAGGGTTGACTGGGCACGTGTGTATGCTGATGGATGGTAATTGGTCTTTGTGTGGCGAACATGATATAATCTACACAGAAATGGAAGTATAATGATGTACACCTGAAATATATACAGTGTTATAAACCAATGTTACTTCAATTTAAAAAAAAAGGATCGAGCATGATAATTTCTCTAAACCCTATAAAAAAAATATATATATATATAGCCAGCAGTTTAAACCAGGCATGCTTGCAAAATAGTGCAATCTGTCGTTGGCTCCACCTTCCACTCTCTCCACACACTTCCAGGCATCCAAACCATAATAAAGCCTCAGAGCTACCCTGGCCGCCAGCTACTCAAACTCACACATTGAACTAGTCTGCCTGACTGCACTCCTCTGCTTTTCTCTTGCTAATTAATTAAAATATCCATAACAAATATGTAATTGTCTCATATACAGGATCCCTACCCCTCCATTTTAATGTTAACAAATATAGTAAACAAATTGGTTAACCTAGTAATAGCTGGGAAATTCAAGCCCTTCCTATTGGCATTGTTAAAAGATAAATTAAAGTATACTAAAAATTTTAAAACTTTATTTGAGCAAAAATTGATTCCAATCAGGCAACCCCAAACTGGAAATGGTGGGAGCGCTTCCCAGACAGGAGTTGGGACGAGACTTTTATAGAGACAAGAAGTAAAGCAAGGAGATTATTTGACTGGCTATAGCTAAAGCATTTGCCTTATTTGGAAAAGTCTAGGTGGCTGTTTGTGATTGGTTTTCCTTAGGTTTTGATTTCTTAACCTTGAGGCATTTACAGGCTTAGGTTTTGGTTTGCTTACAAAGGCATCTAAGGTACTAGAACCACCTCAGTCTAATGACCTCCTTGTTTAATCAATAACAGGGTATATCAGAGAGTGTTTCGTGAAGGAATCTTACAGGTTATCTGGCCCACCACGTTCTAAACTTGAAGCAGACTTGGGAGATTGGTGTACCACCCTTAGAATCCTGCCTCCTCCACTCACTTCCTGGGTGACTTGGGCAACTTTCCCTTCGTTAGCTTCAATTCTCTGAGCTACAAAATGAAAATAACAACTGTCCTTTCCTATCATGTTTTGGAAAGTTAGCTGTGCCTGACCAATAATAAGGGTTCCAAAAATATCAGTTATAAGTAACTTTTTTCTATTCAATCTTTCATTCAAGAAATATTTGTCAGTGGCTAATGAGTGTCAAGTGCTATTTTGGGAACAGGTGACAAAGCAATGAACAATATTAAATATGTTCCCTCAACTGGTCATCAAACTTCTTTTGAAGACCTCTGGTGATGGGAAATGTACTGCCTCCTGAAGCAGCTCATTAGGCAATTGTGATTGTGAGAAACGTTGCCTTAAATTAAGTAAAAAACCAGCTGCTCTGCAATTTCTACCCACTATTTCCACAGAACTAGAGCTCCTACTGAATAAGTATGTTGGCTTTTCACCACACAGGCTTTTATCTATAGAAAGCAGTCTGAATGAAGCCTGGCCTCTTAGGGGTTTGCAATGCTCTCTGACCCTGGACTGGTCACTTTCTCCAACTCTACCATTTGTTTGTTTTCCTCTGCCTCTTTGAAAGAATGGTGTACATAACTAGTCATGGTTTTGATATTATGTGCCTCTTTTTAATAAAGCATAGGCTCAAAGTAGATTGACCAACAGCCACATGACAATAACAATTCATATTGAGCTTCAGCTTGTCTGAAAGCCCGCTGGTCTAAGTCTCGTATCCCTCATTTTGTACTTGGGAAGTTTTGTGGGTTTTTTTTTAAATAAAATGCAAAATAAGGTTTATAATCTATCTTTTTATATTTAATTTATCACAGCAATATATTGACATCAATTTGGCTCAAGTTTTGACCATGCAACATTTTACCGTCCCTCTCAGTTTTGTGTAATTTGCAAATTCAAACATGCCCCATCTCTCTCCGTGTAAGTCACTGCTATAAAATGTAGGCCATTGTCAGTGTTGAGAGACAAATTCATTGTTTTTGCGTTAAAATTCTCCCTCCAGTTTGAATTCAAGCTATCCATCCTCACTGTTTGGACCCCCCATCAATCAATTACAAGTCCATGTGATAATGCCATTTCCTCTAGACTCATATCGCCATGGTGGAAATTGGAATTACAGTTTCCAATCTCCTTTTCTGGCATTTATCTTAGTCTTTACAATTCTTAAAAGCTACTCTATAATGTTCCTTCTGCAAGTTCTCTCACAGAATAGAATCAAATCATAGAACAAAAGAAATATAAAAATTCACTGTTGAAATCTAATCATTACCTTAAAATCTCTTTATCCTTTTTGGATGTTTTCTCCTTTCTCTTCCTTTCCAGACATCATTTGCTTTTTCTGAGTAAACAGTAATTTGAGAAGTTTTAATTTCTTCACATCTTTTTCATGAATATTTATGTCTCTAAATCTAAGCCGTGGACTCATTTCCTTCCTTCGCTCCCTCCCCTCCTTCTTTCTTTCCTTCCTTGCCTCCCTCCTTACGCCCTTCTTTCCTTCCTTCCTTCCATCCCTCCCTCCTTCTTTCCTTCCTTCCTTTCTCTGCCAGGACCTCTCTCTTTTCTCCCTCTTCATCCCCCACCGGTTTTCCTTTCTCAGGAAATAATTATAAAATAAATTTTTGTTATCAAGAAGTAGTATAAAGTGTGTAGAGCACAAATGTTTGGTTGGGCAAATAATTATGATTTGGGTATTTGCTTAATCTCTTTAAAGCTACTTCATAAGTTTTTATGAACATTAATTGAATAGATATAAAAAGCTTAGAGCATTTTTAAAGCATAATAGGAGTTAAATAAATGTTAGAGTAGCAGGAGTTTAAAGTTTCACTCTACAACTTAGACGGCTAACATATGTAATTTGTGTTTTTACCAGAAACTGATCTAGTCTCTAATCAGATTCTCCATATCCACTCAATAGTGAGAAGGGAGTCAGTGCGATGAGACCTTGAACTTGGCACTAAAACTATCTTAGTCTATCTCAGTTTTACAACAGTATTTTGGGCTACCAAAGTTTTATACCTTTTTTGTTGTTTTTGTTGTTGTTGTTTGAGAAATTTACAGGAAATTTTAAAAATCAAATATTCTATCCATGCTGTTTTTCCTGCTTCAAGGAAACTCCCATGCCCCTCCTTATTTCCATGGCCATCTCAGGCAAAATTCTCACCATAATCACCCTCCTTCTGGCCCCACTTACAAAGCACAGCACTTTCTTTGTCTAGCGGGGACTTTCCTTAAATCATATCTTCTATTCTGACTGTGACTTAAAATAAAATTTTATGATTTGAATCCCCCAGACAAAGCTCTTGAAATATAAAAGGGTATATTGGGAGAGACAGGCTTTGGATAAATCAGAAAAAAAAACCCCACACCTTCCTCAAGTTAAAAAAAGGAGTTAAAGCTATATTTTTAAAATTTTTAATAGTAACAGTGATAAGAAACATAAAGCCATTCTGCACAAATTCAAAAACCAAAGTTTGAAAATAATATAACAAATGTGAATTTTTCATTACAATTGTTAGAAATTTACAGTATCAGAAAGCAAATTCACCTGTTATTTTATCCTCAAAACGAGTTTATTTGGAAATAGCCAAAAGATTTGCAATTCAAGATGTGCATGCTATGGCAAACCATAGGCAAATCCTATGAAAACAAAGGAGGGGAGCCGCTTTCATAGAGAAAAAGGGAGAGTAGGGAGAGACTGTTCTAAAGGAAAGTCCATTGGGGAAAAATAACAGTTCAGGGTAGCAAAGGCTTCTCATCGGCTGAACTGTGGCGTTTCTCATTGCTGGGCTATTGCAGGGTGGGGAGAGAAATCTTCCTTCAGTAGTAAAGTACTTTTACTTCCTGTCCAAGATGCAAGCATATGTCTCTTCCTGTTTGGTGTAATTGACAATGTTTGATAGGGCATGAGAGCTCCCCCTACAGGCCTTCCTGACTCCAATTTAGTTAAAGTTGCTTTTATTAATTTCCACAAAGGTCACCAGGATATAATAACATGTTGTAAAAGAGTTATGCTCCTGTTTTCATGGAAATGAAAGTTTGTATTACAATTTCCATGTGTACTTGCTCTAATATTTGTTTCTTATTTAAAAAAATGATGGCTGAATTTGAGTCATGTGACAGGGTGGAATTTAAGTAATTTTTAATATATTTTATGAGGAACTAATTTCTTTACCAGCTAAGTTAATATAGAACAAGAGCTACAAGCATATTTTAAAAGGTGTCTAGCAAATTTATGTCCAAATGTATTGCAAAACCATAATGGAAGCTGTACTAGGTTTTATAAAATTTAAGCACTTTAGTTCTTCAAAAATAAATGTCTCATCAATAGCACATTTCTTATTATGCTCATCTGTCAATTTCTTTGGTAAATATTATGCCACTTTAAACATATAAAATCTAATTCTTTCAACGTAATAAACCTTCCATAAGGAAGAAATTGCATTTGACATGGAAAAAATTGATTTTGAGATTATGTTTGAGTCATAGATATGCTGATTGTGAGGTTAACACTCAAAATGAGTCATTATTCTTTTTCTGGTGTGTTTTGAATCTGTGTCAATAATGATAGTCTGTACTTTATTTTGCATTAATATTTCATAAATATCAACAATTTCCTTTCTTCAAAGAATTTCATAAGCTGTTTAATGAAAAGTCCTCTTCGGGCCCTCTTACATTGCCTTTTGTTCATGCATCATTTTGCCTATAACATTAATTTTGATTAAAATATCATTAGTACAGACTAAAGAAATTTTTAAAGTATACTTTTAAAAGTCTATCTTTGTTTTTCATTACAGAATCTAGATCTTTATTAATTCATCAACAATTTCTAAAAGAACATTAAAATAGTATCCTTTAATGAGTATTTTGTGGCTTGAAGGCGTCAATTCGATTTCCCTTTGCTGTTTTGACAATGGCTGCAAATTTATGCAGGTAAATGTATTTTTAGTATACTTCAACATTTGTTCACACTGAAAAGTTTTTAAAACGTATCAGAATCAAGAAAGAATTTGACCTCATTGTTTACCATCAGATTTAGATAATGCACAGAACAAGAAATGTAAAACATCTTTAACATTTTGAATGTCTTCTATCCATTCTTTTTTCCAAGCGTTTGTGCAGTATCATTTTATCTTTGGCACCTGAAATTATTTTTTATGTCTAGATTTGTTTTTTTTTCTCTAAGTACTCTTCTAAGAATATGACCATTCTATGATTATGTCTTTTACCAGATTTAAAAACTCAAAATGTTCATTGTGATACACTTTCTGCAACAGAAGAAAATCCCCTGATATATCACAGGGCTTCTTGGATTGTCCTCTGAATACTAGTCACCGCCTTGGCAAAAACTAAATAGTGTCTATAATTTGTTTGAGGAGACATGGCCAACGTTCTTATGCTCACTCACTCTCTGTTTAGAAAGCTTCCTTTATCAGATTTCAATTTTGAGTACTTAACACTGTTTTCACTTCTTCATGTTTGCCAAGACTATCTAATAAATGATGCCTACGTTTTCTCCCTTTGGTTGAATATTTTCCATCCCCATCTAAATACAAAATAGAAAAAGTATATAGAATCCTTTGGTTTGCAATAAAGTAACATGGATCTAGTATATTTTTAGTGATTTGGAAGAACTCACTAATGCTTCTGAAGTCTGTTTTGTCATTTGGCAATTTACAAATTTCCCATTGTTTAATATTCAAATTACATCATCAAGTATCTGGATCTTCAGAAAATATATGTGATTTAACAGATTCTTTATATACATTTTATCCCAGTTTTTCTTGAAATTCATAATTTATGGTTGAAATGGATGTAGAAACTAAATTCACATCCTCCTCCACCAGTGACATATTAGTGCTACGCTACACTGAAACTAATAGCTCTGAAATCTTCTCCTTTTTGTATCGTTCTATTTTCTCCAAAAATGTATCCAAGGATACAAAAGATTTTTTCATTAATTTCTATGATGGCTTTCCATTTTGTTTTCTAAAACTTATCCTTTTACCGTGACATGTGGGGAAAATAATATACAATAGGTTAGAAATTATTTTAAAATGTGTAACTATATAAAATAATATGAACATGATAAACTCATCAAATTTTAAAAATAGGTAATTTTTGTACTGACAAAATTTCCACAACAATAGAACACTCACTCACAAATGCCTAGCCAAAACAATTAGCTGATAATCTATAACTACTTATAATTATGATAATTTTTATCTGTTCATGTTTACTTTGTAATAATTGATGAGAATTATATTAGTCAGAGTTCTCCAGTGAAACAGAACTAAAGGATATATGTAAAGAGACTTGCTCTAAGATATTGGTTTACTTCATTATGGAGGCTGAGAAGTCCCATGATCTGTGGTCTGCAAGCTGGAGACCCAGGAAGGCCAGTCATATAGTTAGAAGGCTTGAGAGCCAGAGAGCCAATGGTGTAGGTTCCAGTCGGAGTCTGAAAGCCTGAGAACTAGCAATACCAAGGGCAAGTGAAAATCAATGTCGCAGCTCAACAATCAGGTAGAGAGAGAGAGAAAGATTGAGAGAGAGAGAAAGATTGAGAGAGAGAGAGAGAATCCTTCCTTCGTCTACATTTTTGTCTATTCAGGCCCTCAATGGATTGGATGAAGCCCACCCACACTGGGGAGGGCATTCTCCTTTACTCAGTCTACCAATTATAATGCTAATATCTTCTGGAAACACCTTCACAGACATACCCAGAAATCATGTTTAACCAGACACCTGGTCATCCTGTGATCCAGTTGACACATAAAATTAGCTGTCACAATATGTGATTATTAGTTATTACATAATGATTTATGTAATAATGAAGATACTTATACATTTATCCTGTGAACTTAGTAGTACAATTTTTGTCCTATAAACATATGGCAGATAATATAAAGAACAATATTACATAACAACTTAACTAGTCTACTTACAACAGAGAATTTTTTCCTTTTAATTTAACAAAAATAAAAAGTAAGATTGTTGTGCAGAAATATAGCTAATTTTAAATTTTGTTAGATCAACAGGTTTTTTTTCAGTTATCAAGCTCCTTCCTCTTTCATAAGTCAAAACAGAATGATATATTAATATGTGAATTCTGTAAGAATAAAATACTTCCTCCATCTTTGGGAAAATTCTTGTGAAATAATGAGCAGTTGACGGCCATAGTTGTTACCAACACTATTGTTACTGGAAGTGCCTGGTTAATCCAGCACAACTGGAGCTTGCATCTCTCTTTACTTACGGCAGATTGAATCCCTGCTTCCATTACTACTTTTCCACCCAGATTATTGCCCCAGATATTTCCAACCCTGCCCAAATTATTGCTTAGAAGTTCCTGAAATATCATACTCCACAGGTGCCAGGGTGTAGGCCTCTGTTACTGCTAAAGTTTTCCCCTATCAGGATACACAGAAGATGCCACACAAAAGGGAAACTATCACAAGTGTTGCCCATAATACTTTCTCACTTGACATCATCTCTGATGACAACTAGGCTTGGGATAAACAATCTGACTTACCATTGCTTTAACTAACATGCACTTTCCGTAGGTTTATGATGAATGTCTGTTTCCTAAGGTAAGGAGAAAACCATTAGATCTATCATAAGTGTTTTCTTTTTTTTTAATTCCCAGAATCTTTGGAGGCATGAGATTCACATAACAAGTTATATTAATTGCCATTATTACAGTTGACTACTCAATTTATATCTTAATACCACACCAGCTTTCTCCCCACAAAGTCCCCAGATATCTATGAAACCCCAATGGGTCCTTGGGTTAAATTTTTAAAAACACAGGTATAATTCAATCTTTGCATTTTACTGTGTAGAAACAGATCTCAATGGAATTCAGTAATTTTTCCAATTTATAAAAGCATTTAGTGTCTTAGCTGGACTGCCCTAGAGTATTCAATGTGGCCTCCTGTTTCTTGTTATGGTAAGTTTATGAATTTATAACTCATAATTACCAAAACCACTGATATGTTTAAAGAAGCCCATTTTGTTTGAGCCAAATTATTATGCATCTGAATGATGAGTTAATTTCCACCTCACTAATTCTCCCCATCATTCCAAAATATCTTCTTTAAAATTTTAGAGGCTCATCTCAATATTATTCCTAGTAGTCTGTTACATTTTTGAAGGCAATGCCAGTGGTCTTTACGTATTAGCAGTGGGTCATCCAAGCCCCTCTTCCTAAGCAATCTGATTGTATAAGATCTGGGAAAAAAAAGAAGAACCCTAAAAAGTATTCTTATTAAAAATATGATAGCAACATAAAAATAGTTGTGTTATAAATGAAAGAAAAAACATTCCTTGCAAGATAATGAATTAAGACAATTCTACCATGTGGCATAAATTCTATTGCCATATTTTTACCTCCTATTTTGCTTTCACATTATGTTCTGAGTAAGAAACATCCAATTTCATTTTTCAAAATCCTCAGTTGTAATAAAAATGTATTAAAAAGCCCCAATACTTTCAGGCTTGTTAGCACATTTTCAAAGATAACATTAGATGCGCAGCCCCAAGTGGGAATATTAAAACAACACACATATCAAGCTATTGGACTTAGGAAAATAAGTTTGTGGTATGTTTTGCTCGCCCTGATTTACAGTTAGAACATAACTTTTATCATGCATTATTAACTGCCATAGAACAGGAAAAGGGTTTTATTGTCCCAAGATTAATTAATGGCTTTTCTTCAGTAAACATCTGCCTCAGAGGCAGAGTTAGCTGGAGTAATTTCCTCTCCTATTCCCAGGAACTGGCCTCCATGTACCTGAAAACTCAAGAGTGTAGAATCCTAAAACCTTGAAGGAAAAACCTCTCATGACAAAACTAAAGCTACCCCCTGGAAGGCAGGCAGGTATTTAACTCAAAGGAGCAATCTGCATGCTTGCCTTTCTCTGATGGGAAAGCCCCTCACAGTTCAAGCTCATTCTGCATCTTAACGTACAGACAGACACTTTCTGATTGTATCTTGAAATAACTGGTTACATGGGGCGAACTTATCTATGGCTTCCTCTTCTTCAAAAGCGTTTGCCTGACACCTTGAGGAACTGGAAGTCCACTTAGTATTGTAAAGAGCAGTGACCTTTTAACCTAATATTGCTGAAAGTTCTGACATAAAAAAAATGGAATTAAGCTTCAAGTGGTTGATTTCCAACTGGACTTTGCATTTCACCACATTAGTTTTTTCTTTTTTCCTTTCTTTCATCTTTTTGTGGAGAAACACAGCATTGAGGCTAGAAGGATCAAATTTTGGTTTTCAAAGATATATGTCAGGTCAGCACTGCCCCATTCTCATAAAATATCTGTCTTGCTAATACTTTATAATATTTTTCCTACAAGCACACTGTTATTTTTTTTAGCCTTCAGGCATTGACAATCTTTTATGATTCCCATAGCAATACATGCTAAATGGTGCACGCACGCATATAGGATGAGCCTTTGTTTGTTATCTTTACCTTTGTTTTTTAGTAGTTTGGGTATGGCTTTCTTTGAATTTATCATGTTTGGGCACTGAGTTTCTTAATTCTAAATTTATATCTATCACCAAATGCCCCTTTGGGGATTATTTGGGAATTGGGCGGTAGTCTATATTGCAGGTCAGTTCTTCAAATTTTTACAATGTCACAGTATTTTATTTGACGAACCTACAGTTGGTTTTGACTGTAATATACTTTTTTAAGTACAAAAAAAGTGAGAGAAATGAGAATAGTGTTTTTCTCAGGGAGAGGGTGGTGCTGGTGTTGACTGGGCAGATGTATGAAGGAAATTCCTGGAGTGTGGGATATGGGTAGACGCTAATGCATGAAAATAAATATATATGAAAAATTAGTTGAGCTGTACAATTAAGATTACCACACTGTATACACTTTACTATATATCTATTATACCTTGACAAAAAAATTTAAGGCATTGTTTTCATTTATCATTATCACAACAATGGCATTCATTGTACCATGAAATTCTACACAGCACAGGCTTTAGGAACTAAAATAATATAATTCAATGGCAATATTGATTTAGATCATCGATTATTTCTTCAGTAACATTTTCTGGGGCATCTATTTTGTGGAAAATGTAGAAATAAGCCATAGCAGTTCCTTTACGGAAAGACAGTAAGTTTAGGTACAATTGTACGGGGAGAGTGTTCCTATGATTGGGGAAAGCACACTGGGTTGTTTTTTAATACACTTGTGAGGTCAACAACCAAGTCTGAGGGGTGCAGTGTGAGGGAAAGCCTCCCTGAGGAGGAGATGGTTGAGCATGAAGCGTACTTATGGAGTTTAAAACCTAAGTAGAGAAACTTAAAAAAGTGGCCAAAAATGGCATTGACTCATATGTTGGTAGAGGAACGAAAAAACCGTTACACTTTTTTTCCATAAAGACACAAACCAGCCACACTGAGCACAAGTGGAAACATTAAGAAATTTATGGCTTATTGAAAATATGTTCTCATTGAATATGAAAAGTTCAAGGGCAAAGTAAATGTTAATTAAAATTTTGAAGGATGGGAGGAAAACTACTTCAGTGTTACCTGGAAACAAGCTCTTAGGAGAAGCTTTTTTCTAGTGAGAGAAGACCTTTTAGGCAATAAGGCCATGCGATCTTAAATTTTTGCTGTGTCACAGTAAGTATTTTATTTGACTAACAATGGTATTTGTTCTGCTATTTGGTAGAATGATGAACATTCATAGCCACTTAGGGCTTTGCTTATCCAGTACCTATTAACTTCAAAGAAGGATCTGGGCCAAGATATTAATATTTCCCAAAATCAGCAGCTTTTAGCCAGTGACTCCACTTTTTGTCACTCATTTGGCTGACCTAGCCCGGCCAATTCTCCTCATTTCCTAGCATCGAACTCTGACCTCAAATTTTCTACTTGCCTACTTCTCAAATCCCCCAGGCTGCCAATATTTCAACCACATTTCTATTCCCTCTGGCCTCCCTCTTACCCGTTGCCCTGTCTTGCTTCACCATTCCTCTGAATCATCTTCTCTTCTCCCTTCCAAAATTTAAAGCCGTAATGGTTTAGTAAAATGAAAGCTCATCTCTTACTCACACAAAACCCAATACAGATGTCCATGTTCAGCAGGGCGCCTTCACAGTTTCATTCAGCATCCAGTCTCCGGGCTTCCCCAGGGCATGAAGTGTTCTATTGAATGCTCTTCCAGCTGGCAGATGGAGAAAAAGGAGGTGTAAAGGATCATGCCAAAGGTTTTGATGAGCTAGGACTGGCCGTAGTTCAGATCACTTCCACTCACCTTCGAGTGGCTAAAATCTAGTCACATGACATATCTAAAGCAAGGGAGGCTGGGAAATGTAGTCTAGCTATCTGCTCAGGAGGAAGAGAAAATGATTTTGATAAGTCTACTGCAGTCTCCACCACACTTGCTCATTACTCTTCTGCAGCCAGTTTCCACTTACATCCGGGCTTCTCAACATAATAAGCTTCACAAACGATTCTCTGTAGTCGCTACCTGCCCTGAGTTGACGTAGCTGAACTTTGGCAGTAAGAGTGAGGATTCATACCTTTAGTGGATATGTATTGAGTGCTTACTCAGTGTCAGGCACTACTCTAGGTGCTGGGGAAAAGTAGTAAATAAAGTGAACAATCCCTCATGAGCTTATATTTTCTCAGCAAAGAAAGAATAATAGCCACCTGCCTGTGTTACGGAATAAGGTCATCAAGAAGATCCTTTTGCTTAGAAAGCCCGGTGGCACAGCAGTTAAGTTTGCATGTTCCGCTTCTTGGCGGCCAGGGATTCGCCGGTGCAGACGTGGCACCGCTTGGCAAAAAGCCATGCTGTGGCAGGCATCCCACATATAAAGTAGAGGAAGATGGGCACAGATGTTAGCTCAGGGCCAGTCTTCCTCAGCAAAAAGAGGAGGATTGGCAGCAGTTAGCTCAGGGGTAATCTTCCACACACAAAAAAAAAAAGAAAAAGGAAAGAAATATCTGCTTGATTCAGGTAGTATATCATTAATAGTCACTTGTGTTAACCCTCTAGCCCTCTTTTAAATATATTACATGTTATATTAAATACATCAATTCTTCTGGAAAGAGCACTATATTAAATCATAAGAGCTTCTCTGTGAATCTACCTATCAGATGCCTTTCTTTGAAATGGAAAAATACTGATATCTAGAGGATAAAAGAGTCCCTAAGAACACATAAAATATACATACCTAGAGGACTAAATAAAGAAATATTTCCCATTTCATAATTTTACTTCAGATATCTATGCAGTCATGGTAAATACTTTTGCATTTGTACAAAAATTTGAGGAAAAACATTTCAAAAGTCAAGATTTCACCCCAAATATTAGATGATGAGCTCATTCTCCAGTCATTACACTAGTCAAATAAAATATTGAATCTCTAACATCATGTGAAGCAGGCCAATTTGTATGTCCCCAAAACCAACTACTGTATGACCGATCAACCTCGCACTACCCTTTCTCAAAACTTGAAATAAATATCCTTGAACCTTGGGTCAAGGAGAGATTTCTCCTCTCCTCCATCCCTGCCTTGTAATGGTTGGAATCCTTAAATCCAGTAAGTGAGGAGATTATAAATTTAAATAGTGGGATTTGCTATGGGAGATTTCTAAGTGCTGTTCATTGTTTCCGGTGTTCCTATAAAAGAGGAAATGGTATGAAGAAACACAGTTCCTATTATGTTCTATCGGCAGCCAGAGCCCTAGGCTAGGTCTTTTTATTTAAATTTAAAAAGCCCACATAGCTATTCAAGTCTATTTTCAGAAATTGAATATTTCATAAAAAAAGTTCTAAAATGATCTTTATGTAAAGTGAGCTTGTATCCCTAATTATTAAATCTCTTATCTTGCTAATAAGAAAATATACTGGCCATTATTTCTTTGAATTTGCAGGAATTTGCATTCATTTATTTATCATCTCTCTCCCATACATTATGATGAAAATTACAGTGAATACTGTTGAAAATTAATCATTTCTATCTATGCTGGTTAATCAATGTCTGAACTTTTGTTAGCTACCTATGTACATAGATAGAAATTTTAGCTGCAAAAGGCTTAAATCTTATTTAGTCTAAGTCTTTCATGTTACAGATGAGAAAACTGAGACCCAGAAAAGTTATGGAAATCCATCACTACCACCAGAAAAACAACTCAAGTGTACCCTCCCTGGAAGGTGGGTCAGCAGTGTCAGCCCTCTACACTAAGTATAATGCTTTTAAATTCGAGAACTGGATTAGACTTCAACTTCAGATCTAAATTGGATGAATGGGTTTTGAATTAGTTCTAGGACGGACATCAAATAAAAATAAATAAGGGTCAGAAATCTGCTTTTTAACAAGTACTTTAAATTTCCACTGAGTATAGTTAATTGCATATACTCATGTAAGGGCAGTAGCCCAGCCAAGCCAAGCCCTATAATTACTTACGGTGGCAAATATTTTATTGTTTTGAAAATGCATTTACTTCTGCTAAATTGGTTATCCTGAGGGAGGGCGAAAATGAATTCAGGGCTTGTTTATCTATTCAGAGGGATGCAGTCCCATTCTGCCTGCACTGCAGAAATTTGAGGAAACTCAGGTCCAAGGCTGAAACTTTAAATCTGTTCATTGACTTTTTATAGGATTAACTTTCTAAGTATGCTTAAGTTCTGAGGCATTTGTTTGCGATGGAAGTCAGACTCTTAAGCCTCATCAGGAGCTGTTGCTGCAGTTTATTTATAGTTCAGAAGGTCAAACTGATTCACTTAATTGGAAAACGCTGCTTCCTAGTCTATGTGCCTATTGATGTACTGTACATTTGACGCGATTAGTTACCAGGGTGAGATTCTAATATGACCTTTGCTAATAAGGTGCATTCTCCATAATGGGCTGTTTGCAGTTTCTAAGAGCCGTTTACATGATGTGCTTGATAATCAGTTACACACTGCAATTCCCATGGTGGAGAGTAGGATCCACTTTAATTGGAACAGTGCAGAAGGCTCAAATCTGAAGAAATTTTAGTAGTCTGTGGTTGATTACTCGCAGAGTTCTCCATGTGCTTTTAAAATGGAAAAAGTATGTTTGTACAACTAGCCTGACATTGCCGACTTTCCATTTGGAAAGTTGCGGTAGAGGATTTAAACGTCACAAGGGAAAGAGTACGTGGATGACAGAATGGAAAATTATTTGCCCACTTAGACAAGTACTGCTCATAGCATGCCGTCCTTCATTCACTTTGCATCATAGAACACACAGACACACACAGTACAATGGCACTTTTATGAGCTTGTTCTTAGAATTTCTATTTGAAAGAAGACTGCCATTGAAACCATTTGACCAACTCAACCTGGTTTTAAAGAACACCATTTGTGGATTTTCAGGATGCTTATGGGGCACAGAAGACAAGAATGTCAGTTTTAAAGAGAAAAAACAAAGTATACTCTTTCAAGAGAGTAGCGTGTTGCTGTAGAAAGTCCCTTTGACTTGGAGCTATGCAGCCTTCACTGTTGGCTTTACCATTTATTTGTTGTGTAATAATTTTGGTCAAGTTAATTAACTTCTTTGAGGCTCTGTTTATTTATCTATGAAATGAGAATAACAATGGGTATCTCATAGGTGTGTAAGTATTAAAGTAGTACACAGCCCGACTCTGCCTTGCGGGACATTTGGTCCTGTCCAAAATGCCCATGAGCACATTTGGTCCGTGCCAAATGGGTTTGGACAGGACCAAATATCAAGGACCTTTTGGTGTGAACTCAATGTCTCCATGGATGTTTGGACAGGACCAAATATGATCAGATATCAAAGACTTTTTGGCATGGGCCAAATGTCTGATGGACATTTTGGACAGGACAAAAACGTCGAGAGCCTTTTGATGTGAACTAAATGTCTTATGGACCAAATGTCTTATGGATGTCTTGGACAGACTAAACATTTGCTAATCCCCACTCTGCTGTAACATGAGAGTTCCTAAGAGGACTCAAAACAAAATCAAAATATTAATATAACTGTTTTATTATATTTATTTTCTAATAAAACTAGAGGAAAAAAGGAATTAGGGGCAAGGGAACTTCAGACGAGGAAAAAAAAGTTATTTTTCCTCGAAGAACTTAAATAATAAAATGGCTTTATAACTATAAAAGCTGTAAAAACTAAATGTCAGATCCAGAAGTTGAATTACCCTAAGACACTCTGTCTTCGAAGTTTCTTTTTTTTGCTCAAGAGCAATGGCTTGTCTTTTCTCACTACCACAAGTGCTTCTTACACACTCCTAACATACAGTCCTATTTCCAACAAAACACAAAGCCATTAAAATAAAATAACCCTGCTGATAAAAACTACTATTTTGTTTTGGTCACAATCCAGAGATCATAAAAGTGGCCTGCATAGCGCAGACACTCCCACACCTGCACGCTTACAAGAATCACTCGGCAAGATTCTAAAAACCCAGATTTCAGAACCCATTCCAGACTTGCTGATCTAGTATGTCTGTTATGGGGCCAAGGAATTTGCATTTTAATAAGTACTCCCAGTGTCTCTGATGGGTCTTCAGAAAGCACCTTGAGACTCAAGGGGAGAATGCAAATCATGTTTCCTAATTAATCTCTATCCCTAATTGTGTCATATCTAATTCACTCTGCAAAGACTTGGACTTTAAGAGAAATGTTTCTATTTGAAAATACAAAACACAGGTCATTAAATTAACTATATGATTAGGAACATTATTTTTTTTTTTTTTCTGTTGGATAACATATTCTTAGAAGGCGAGGTAGTGGCGATGCTACATCTAACAAGTCAGTACTGGTGACGAGGCTTCCTCAGGTAGCCTCCTGATAGTGGGAGACTAGGATTCTGCTGAGGTTAAGAATAGTCCTCAATAAGTGCTCTTGAGAAATCTCTTGTAGATGCTGAAACAATATGAAGAAGAACTCAAGGATTTGCATTAGTGGGTGGAGAGAATCATCAGAAATATGTTTATTACTATATCTGCGGGACCATAATTTCCCCCTAGGCTAGTCTGGCTTGGTGAAGCATAGATGTAGAGATAATATAGCACAGATTCTAAAGAAATCTCTCCTATAGATCTTCAAAGCTAATTTTAATACCAACTAACACTGGAGTACTAATTCTATTTCATGAGGAAATATACTTTTTAAATTTATTGGATTAAGCCATCCAAATGAATAAGAGAAATGTA